AAATTGCTAAGTTTAAGGAATAGAGAGTTGAGTTGTTGAAAGAAAACCAATATCCACTTTTAACAATATCCACTTACTTTCATTATTCTGACAAATAAAGTGTGTGGATTTCGTAACAGTCTAGCGAAGATTTATACTATAATTAGTGTACTAATATGTTTGCATTACTTACCACCATCAAAGAGTGTTTCATGAGTTTCAACATTGGATGCCCGAAAACAAGAAGCTAAGTTCTGAGTAAATATAAAATGTGTTTCAACTTTGGATGCCCAAAAAGAAAGCAAGAAAAGTTGTGGTTTCAAGTAATTTGTGAAGGTCCAAAATTTGCAACTTTGAACGGTGTATTTGTAAGATATTGAGAAAACACCAATTAGTATATATTTGCAACATACCATGCTTGGCTTGGACGTAGAACTTGAAAGGTGAATGCGTGATGATTTCTAGTTGTACCATTTGTAACTTTCTACATATTTTTATCATGAATATTTCACTAGCTTTTGGTAGAATTATAAACGCTTGAAATTGAAACATAATTACTCTTTTCTTTAGACATCTTGTTGTATGAGACTTGATCATACAACTTAAAAACTGTATCAAAGGAAGAAATATTACTAGGCAGTTGAAACATTGTATAATACCACATCTTAATGAAATATCAGTTCAAAGGATTATCCAGAGAATACATATGACCAAGATAAACAAAGAAAAACGAAAAAAGGAACATGTCAAAGATCACACACACATAGAGAGAGATTACAACATATAGAGTTTGATTTACTCACCTCTTTTTCTTTTGTTGCCTCTGGCTCCTTTAAATATGAACCAAACTTGGAACATACTTAAGAATAGCTGGGTAACATGAACCCGTTGGAACTAGTCCGAAATTTACTGTTGTAACTTTATTATCCTCTCCAACAATGTACAACATGTTTTCCCAGATGTTCTCGTCCCATAGGTCATACATCAACACAAGAACTTTCTTCTCCTCGTCCAGCAAGAAATTTGCAGTAAGGGTAGTGTGAAAATCTAAACAGCTCAAATTCAACGCTAAGACCTTGCTCCATGACACCACTTTGGTTTCATCAATGGTATTTGTCAACCATATATCAGTAAAAGAAGAACCATCGTTCCGTCTTAATAACAACGAAAGCTTCTCTTCCCTAACAACGGAAAGACTTGTAGCTATATAGCTAGGCAAGTTACATGGAATAGGCACATGTACAAATTTATCAACTGCAAAATCAAACCTGAGCAAGGATAGCTGCCGTTCTGTTACAGTTTCGGTAAGCACGTAAATATGTCCCTTCAAAGACATGCAGATATCAGAAAATGCCAAGTCAAAGCCTGGAGCGATATCATGGTCAGTAGTCCTCCATGAATCAGAGTCAAAATCGTAGACGTCCGAACCAACTTTGGTGTCAAAACAGTTGTAGCTCAAAATCTTATAGCTCTTACCGCATGATTTGTTGTCTTGACAGTAACCGAGAACAATGATGCGGTCTCCTACGCCATGATTGCCTGCTTTGATCCACTTGCTTTCACCAGTACATGGGTTCCAAACCACGATTCTAGATTTGTCTCGGGGGATGCATAACAATAAGCCATCGCAGTGAAAGACTCGATCGAATTGAGTTGAATTATTAGAACGAGGATCGAGTAGGCTAAGCTGACTTTTTACCTCGACAGATGGATCAGCTCCATCGAGATTGATGCTCATCGGACAAAGCATGAAGTCATAGGTCAACATGAGAGACAGAAACTGCTTTGGGGATTTGTCAAAATGCTTCATTGCGAAACTCGTATTGTTGAATAAACCGTTCCAGTCTTTGCAAGTTGATCGAGCTCGTTTCAGATCTGTTGCCGGAACGCGACATAGAATCTCCTCTGCAAAATCCTTTGGAAGATCTGTGAAGTTCGTCATGCTGCACCAATCTCTCTCTCCCTCTAGGAAACGGCGCTCTGAATACAATTTAGGGTTTCACTTTTTGTTTTTGCTCATATCTTCGGAAGATCTATGAATATCCTATTGGACCTCTTACTAGACGACATGTGGCAAGAAACAAACCACCCATTTTTAAAATTTCTTTCCAAATGATTATCTCTTCTACCAAATTCAAGGAGGAACACGTGGTGTGCCAATTGAAGATAGGAATTCGTTTCCTTTGTAAGCTCGATAGGTGATATCTATAGGGGTTAGGCCTCTCGTGGTGTGTCTTTCTCTTCTATATCACCTCGCGGAGTGTTTGGCGTCGTCACCAGGTTCCTCTATTGACTTGATGTTCTTGTTGTCTTGAGTCTCTTCCTCTGGCAGCAGTTTGAATTAGGTCCTGCTCCTTTTTTTTTTATGTGGTAGTGTTGGTACTCGTTTAGGTTGTGTGGCCTAGGTTTGTGCTACCACTTGCTTGTTTGTCTGGTTTTGGTGTTGCCGGTCATTGTTTGCAGTTTAGGTTTTTTTTTTTGGTGTTGCAGTTATCTGGCTCCATCTAGCATCGAAAGTTTGGGTTGTGTGTTATAGCTTTGCTTCCTTTGCTGCGTTTGATGGTTTTGGCTTCATCCTAGGAGTCGAGTCGCCCCTCTTCTAGGCCTGATGTCATCTCTCCGCAAGTCGGTGTTCCTGGGCTTTATAGAAGTACTTTCAAGAGTTGCCTCTCCTTTGCCGCAAT